GTTCTGTTTTCTCATGTTTAACTCAAGTATTTCTGACCTTTAGGTGACTGTTGGTACCATATTCCTTCACCTCAAAAACAAAAGTTAAAGCAAGTCTCAGTAGGACGAACATCTGTGTTTGTCTTGGACACAAATGGTAAGGATTTAAAAAGATTATTAGTTAAAAAAAAAATCCATCCCTATACACTGGACTGATTTAAAAAGGAGAGGCTAAATTAGAGCTGGACAGATGATGACTGGTGCTCCAAGAGGAGGAATATTTTGTACTGAAAGATTTGGAGTAGCAGTGCACTGAAGTACTTGGTGTTTGTTGTAACTCAGAGTGCCCTGGGTAACAACAATCCAGCATCTGTGCTCTTTGGGGGAGGGAAGACACAGATGAAAACTGCATGGCAGGATTTTGCCTGGAACCCCAAATGTACAAAACTGAAGAGGAATATTTACCTGCTGCAAGACCTGGATATAACCCCATCATTGCAAGATAAAATGTGAAGTACCTTTTGTAAAAGAAACAAGCCTTTAACACCAGATTTAGAGACCTTCATCTCGTTTGCTTTTGTTTTCCAGTGGTCCTTCTATGAACATTTTTCCCAAAAAAATTTTACAAAACAGTATTTGCTGTTTTTCAGAAAGGTTATAAAGAATAACTATAGAAATACAAATTCCAAAGTAGGAACCTCATTGTCCATCACTGTCACACATGAGCCAAAACCATGATGCATTTCCCCAGGACACAGGAAGAATTACAGCTGAGGTGTTGTGTTGTTTGCAGCACTTCAGCCAAACAGCCCCCTGAGCTGTAACCAGCTCTGTTTGTTTTCCAGGGAATCTTTGGTACCGGCAGGGAATCACACCGAGCTACCCCCAGGGATCTGCTTGGGATCACGTGTCAAATAACATCCGGAAAATGTCCGTAGGGCCCCTGGACCAGGTGTGTAGGAAGCTCCCTTGGATCTCATTAGTTTATTAAAAATTATGCATAACATACTTTAGTAATTAAGTGTTCTTCAGAATTATTTTTGTTTAGCTTTGTTCCACAAAGTGTTGGTCTAAATGCTGGAATCCTTGACAGCAAGACAAATAGTTGTACCAATGGAATGGTGCTCCAGCCCTTTGTTGTAAAAGCCTCATTTTTTTTTTTACAATGCTTTTTATATACTTAATCTCTTTCCTGCCAAGTCTTATCTGGCAATGTTTTAATTAGAACACTGCTCTATAGCTTGGGTGTCTCTCTACCTAAATTAGAGCAGTTTGGCCCTATTGAAGATCAAGACTGATTTCTGAAAGTGGTCAAACAGCTTTCATATCTGGGAAGAGCAGCACATTTTATTGCCTCTCTTTGCTTTCTTGAGGTCTGGGTGATTGCTGACAAAGTGCAGGGAAGTCACAGTCTGAGCTGTGGGACAGTCTGCCATCGGATTGGTGTCCAGCCCCTGGAACCTAAAGGCCTCTCCTGGGATTATGGCATTGGGGTAAGTGCTGGGGGCAGGATCCTACCCAAAAATTGTACATCCAGATGTCCTCAGGCACCCAGAGGAAGAAAAGTGCTATCCTGCCCAGCTGGTGAGTGTTGGAAAGCTCACATGTATCTGCAGGAGACTGACCTTTGTTCTTCAGTCTCAGGCTCCTTTTTTAAGTCAATATAATGGGCTGTGCAGTTACAGCTGGGAAGTTGTTTATTTGCATTTGATAAGTATTCATTTTAAATAGGGAATTTAAAAGTTATAATGGAAAAACTAGTAGAGTAAGGGCCATTTAAAAAGAAAAAGTGGGTTCCTTCCTGGTCTGCACACGATTATTCCTCATTGTTGTATCCTGAATTATTCTCAAGGTTTTGAGAAAGGCTATTTCAAGGTTTTGCCCCTTTTTAGGTTGGTGGAAAACCTGCAGTGGTTCTGCTATAAACACCTGACCCTACTGATCTCAGCTCCCTGTAATAAAAATAATCCTCAGGTTTAGCACCTCTATAGCTCCCTGCCAGGGAGGTCTGGTGTGTTTTATTTCATTTTACAAGGAGCCTTTTTACTGATTCCTCGTGATTAAATAGAACAAACTGAGTAGTGCCCATAAAGCATCACATCAGATATTGCACTTGCAGGGTGATGTTTCTCCTTTTGAATTTCTGTATCAATCTTTTCCAGGGTGGGTGGGAGCACATCACAGTCAGAGGAAATGCAACAGAAGCATCTCGGGCCACTGGTCATGACACCTCCGAGGAAAACCTTGCAGTGTCAAAGGATTTAGAAGATGAGGAGAGTAAAGGGAAAACAGAACACTCTAAAACCCCTCTGATGGTCAGTGAAAGTCAAGAATTGGACAGAAATGCTGTTAATTGTTAAGTTGTCACTATCTACATGTTGCAAACAGGCACAGTCAGTATAAGTTGAAAAGAAACTAAATGTCTATTGCTTGGAGAGAAACACATGACCTTTTTGTGCTACTAATGTGTTTGACTGAACTGGACTTTGCAATGGGGTATTTTCAGTACTGAATTCTTCTACTACATCATGTGTAAAACATGACTTGATAGAGCTCATAGTTTTGTCAAAGCAGGCAAGGTTTTTTTAACCATCATGTATTTCTGACCCTTTACCATAGCTGCTACACCCCATACAAATGTGAATATCTGCAGATGGTCACTATATTAACTTTTTTTTTTTTAAATATTATAGTTCCCTACATTTCTCTCACATTCACACACTGTTCTTGAGATTCATGTTTGAGCCTAGATGAAGATGTTGCATTGATTTAAATGAAGGCAAACATACCTGGTCCTGTTTTGTACCTGCACAGAGCTCTGCTCCCCTGGGTGCTCCCTGGGTAAGAACTGAGCTTGGGTTCCTGCTCCCATCAGTAAAATTAAATCCTGAATAACTCAGCTTGGGGGGCAGTTACCAGGAAGGGCCAGTTTGGGCTGTCTTTGCTCACAGTGAGCAATGTCTCACTCAAGAAGTGGAACCACTGCTTTCAGCCAGGCTGGGCAGGGAGCAGAGTCCAGCAGTGACATCTGTTCTGAACTGTCACTCCAAATGGGGGTAAATTATGTTTTGTCTTCATCTTAACTGGAACTGTGATAACTGGGGTGTACAGATGCCTCCTTAAAGGGGCTGGAAGGCACCAGACACTTGAGGAGTTAGGCTGTGTTCTAAGTCATTGCAAATTATGCTTTCACAGTGTAAAACTCAAGAGAAGAGCTTAAATTCTGACTTTACAGTGCAAAGGGACTTTACTGCTATCAGTGGAGTTTGCCAGTGTAATACTGATGGGGGTTCAGAATGAAGCTCTGCTCTTTGTTTTTAGTAAGTGATTTATTCATCCCTTTTTCCAACAAGAAACCACCTTCTATTCTCAAAAAAAAGCTTTTCTTCCCCAGTTACTTACTATAATTGGACAGTTTACATTCATTTTTCCTCTGTGTGTGTGACTATATGGAGTTATTTTTATATGATGAGCAGTTTGGTGTGGTCTCAGTACTGTATTTGTAGAAGTAAAACTTATGTTTGCACGTATTTAAGGAATATATTTGGTATTTAATGCCAAGGAAAGCACTGTTTCCAAGTCCAAATGTGAATGAAGACTGAAGATGCTTAACTGTTTCAAAAGAACCTGTTGATCTTTCCAGTATGTGAGTAGAGATTTCGGATTTATACCTACCTTGTGGGAGAATCATAAATAACATGTTTGCATTAATTACCATTATAGGTTTTGCATAACTTGCACAGTATCTTGTCCAAATAAATAACTTTATTACATGTATTTTTAGAGAATTATTAGGATTGTATTTTCTCTGCATTGTATCCAAAAGATTTTTCCTTTTAATAGTCAGTGTTTACATATCCAACAATCAACCTGGTTGCACACAATAAGCTTGATAATGTACCTTTGCATTTTCCCCTACATTGCCAAGTTTTACTTACTTTACTGTAAATAGCTGGGTTTAAGTGAAAAAAAAAAAGATAAATTATAAGTTGGTTGTGTTTGAGTACTAAGTATTTGCCTTCTAAAACGATTATTTAGAAAATTATTTAACTTAAAATATGTCATTGTTGTTGCTCGTTAAAATAAGGAAAAGTGACTTTAAATTAAAGCAATTTTGAAAAATAAAAGTAATTTATCAGAAAAAAAAAAGAAAGCTTCTTAAAAAAATCCTTTTTGGCATCTCCAAGAGCACAGCACTTCAGAAATGACCAAAGAGCATCCCACATCTCTAACCTGGAGAGATGCTGAGTGGAACAACGGAAAGAAAAGGCCTTGGAATTACTTATTTCTCCCATTACAATCAGACAACATATAAATACAACAAGGACTAATTTATCAACACAAGGCAGCTGTTGAATGGAATAAGATCCAGCACTGTAATGGCAACTGAAATCTGTATCTCAGCAATACTTCAATTAACATTTGAGTTTGAGAAGGCCTTCATCACATCTATTTTAGTGTCAAAACAGTTCAAAAGCTAAGAAAATGTCAGGTTGAGGCAGGATCCAAATAATCTCTCCAGTAAGGCACACACACAAACCATTGTGTTGTTCTACATCACAGCTGTGGATTGTTATGGGGGAAAAAACAATTCACATCCCTGACCAGCCAGTCCAGGAGACCTCCCCTTCTAGTCCAAATGAAATCATTGTGCTGTGCTGGAGCAAAATAAATAACACACCAACTGCCCAGTGCAGCACAACCTTCATGGATCCAATAAATCCTTCCTCAGCCACTGTTTCTCCTTGGACAGCCCTACTTTGTGGGAAGAAGAGACACACCACAAAGTCTGTCAATCCCAGTGGTGCAGGAGATGCCAAATGTCCCCTCTGCTATCCCAGCACAGGCCTGGGGGGTGTGGGGAGGATGAGCTGTACCACGGGGACCCCATGGGCACCAACTGAGGCCCCTCCAGCTTCAGGTGTGAGAATACAACAGAAAATGAGGGTTCCTCAGGGACATAAAACATTTTACTGTAAGAGGGGAAATGGGGCAAGGAGAGGTGAAAAAAAACCCCCTCATTTTCCTTTTTGAAGAGTTTCTGCATTTATTGTTTTATAGTACCAGAATCTAATACTAACCCACAAAGAACATGATCACATCAAAGGTTCATTAGCAAATAATTTAAATTGGCTAAATCATGTCTAACTTAAGACTATACTAAAGCATTTTTATCATTGTTTTGGCAAAAATAAGTCATTTGTCCCTTATTTATTATTTGTATTGCAATGATACCCAGACACCAACTAAAGGATGGTCTGGAAACACAGACCAGAACTGCCCTTACTCTAGAGAGCTTATAGTCTAAGAAAGCTTTGCAGATGTTTACATCAACAAGTATTTTAGAAGTTCTTATGCTTTGCAAGGTTCAAAATTATCAGAGCAGATCCATAAAAGATAAATATTAAGATAAATATTCAGATTTAGTGACTGATTTCCCATCCAGTCACTTCAGTCATCAATTTTATTTTCCTCTGGGGCCTGGGAGATCACAACAGGCACTGCAAGGCTGGGGAACAGAGCTACAGCCACAATTCTCCAAGCTCCAAAGAACTCAAGTGACACAGACCTTAAAAGCTCAACTCACAACCTTCCCAAGGAGGGTGACTTTCAAAAGTTACTAAAGCTTTATATTCAAGTCAGCTCCAGTGTTACAGGATAGATTTCCAAGCTCTGCCAAACCACACAAATACATTCATTATGCTCTGAAAAATTCTTATAGTTTAAGGTAGCTTTTTAATGTGCCATATAAACTATAGCCATGAGTGTTGCCTGTTTTTCTTCTAAAAAAAAAAAAAAAAAAAAGAGGGGAGAGCTGGAGGCAAAACCAGTCTCTTAAAAGCTCCAATTACTGACGTATTATGACGTAAAAAGGAAAAATAATGATGGCAGCAGCTAACTGTGGGTGCTCTGGCTGAAGCTATGAATCTACATGGCACATTTCTGTAGATGTTCCTCATGGTCATCCTCCCCATGCTGCTGTTGATAATGTTGGTACAATTTGGACCCCCAGGTTCCCCCCATCCCTTCTGCTGCTGGAAAGTGTCCATTGGACATATTGAGTATAATGGAGGTCAAGGACTTAATGTAGTTTTTGGCCAGCGTGAGAGTCTCTATTTTGGACAGTTTGTTCTCAGCCCTCACGTGAGGGATCACCTCCCGCAGGGCCTGGAACGCGTTGTTGAGCTTGTGCATTCTCTGTCTCTCCCTCTCGTTGCTTTCCAGCCTCCTCAGATGCCTGTCCTTGGCGCTCCAAGGGCGCTTGGCTCTGGCTGCAGCGATCTTGCTGCTCTCCTTGTTTCCCCCATTCCTCCTTTCTCTGCGCCGCAAACATTTCGCCAGTTCTTTTTTTCTCATTGCTGACTCCTCGGAAAATGCTTCTTTGTCAACAGTTTGCCTTTGCTTCTTTCCTTTGGTTTTAGTCTTCATGATTTGCTGGATGTGCTGGTATTAAGCACCACTGTGCTGTAAAAACATGCCACCGATATCGTTGGCTGTTGTACAGTTCCCTCCTGAACCAATGATCCGGTGCAGGTTGGTTTGACGTGTTTGTTTACTTGGTTCACTCACTGGAAAACCGTCACTGGCTCTCAATTTAAGTGACGTTCGTTTTAGAAGCTGTGAATGTTGTTACTCAAGATGACCTGTGCAGATGAACAGAGGAGAAAATCTTTTTGTAGAGAACAGATTCTCCTTCAGCTGGCAGGAAGAAGTTACAGAGGGAGCAGAGGACAAGTGAATGGAACCACAGAAACAAAGATGCAGTGAATCACCTACTGGTGATTCACAGATGCTTCTGCTTTCTTAGAAGTAGGCCTCAAACTAGAGAGATTTCTCTGTACATAAGAGAAAATGGTCTCCAAGCTAATCCAGCTTTCCTGTAGAAAAGTGAACTACAACTCAAAACTCATGTAGAGTACAATGGTCAATTAGATTTGATAACATGTTGCTTCAATTTTTTGATCTCATACACTCCTGTTGTGTCACAGCTCATTACCCCACACTATAATAAAACCATACACGGCTTCCCTCTACCTGTGTGGGGGGGTATTAAACAGAATCCTCAGGCTCTTAGAGTAATTCTCCTTGAACTCCTGGCAATTGCTTTGTGTAAGAACAGGTTCCCACTATGTTTTTGAGCAGTCCACTAGAGGGACACATGGCGCACTCACTTCCTGGAGAAGCTCAGTCAGCCACGTGTTTTCAGCTGCAGTATTTCTGCATTTTGGGGTAGTCCCCCCAAAAAAAAAACCCAAGCACTTCCCTCTTCCAACAATAATCCATTAACTGCAGGGTTTAATTGCAGTTGCTACCCCAGATCAACAGCAGCAGGGCAGGTTATTTCCCAGCTTATCCAAAAAGACACAGCAACACTCCTTCCCCCATATTAACAGGGCAGATGACAGCATTGATATTTTACCCCATCTCAGCCCAGATTCTGTGCCCACACTACATCTGAAGACAACAGCCTTACAGCAACCCTGTCTCTAACACCAACCATCAGTGTTACTGAGAGACATCCTCAGAATGTTCCTCCTGTGCTCTTACACTTGATATAGTCAGAGAAAGGTTTGGTCTAAACAAAATATATTTTTATACCGGTACTATTACATAGGAGCAGCTTGAGAGTTGGTGAGCCAATAAAAAATAAATGAAAGAAGAAGCAAAACCTTGCCCCAGGTGTGTGACTGCCCCAGCACAGGACATCACCCTCAGCTGGAGCAGGTGGTGGCAGTTCCCGGGTGTGCTGTGATAAACACCACTTCTCTTGTTTCTCGTTTCTCTAGAGCCAAGTTCAGCTGCAGGGCAGGCAGGGACTTAGTTCTCTGCCTGGGAGGGCACCCTGGCCATCCCCAGGCTCTGTGCTACCAGCGAGGCAGTTTTAGCAAACATGACAGGAACTCACAAAGCAGCTGGGTGAGGGTGGCACCCAGGTGATGAATGCTGAGAGAAAGACAGCACCAAGCAGCTCAGCTGTGGGAGCCTAAAAGAAATGCTGGAGACACAGGGGTATCTTCAGCAGGAAAACAGCATAAAAGGCAAGCACTGGGTTTGTTCTGGACTGTTTGTGTAATCAGCAGAAAAGGCCCAACTGCAGGACAGCACAAACCACCACTGGGGAGAGCTGCTGCTTGGAAGGAAAACAGCCCATAGGACTTGGTGAAGAAGAGATTCATGGAGGCAGCCAGCGGAGAAAGTTGGAAGAAAATCCAAGAGAAAGGAAGCTTCAGCAAACTGTGGGAGCAAAGTAATCTTTAAAACTGCAGACTGGGTAAAAGCAGTTGGGATATGTTGGGATAAGAAGGTGCCTAGCTGGCTGAGGTCTGCTTTCAGACTGCTGCATGCTGCTGTAACCGTGAGAAGAGACCCTATGGAGCCACAGGAGCTGCTGGGACCCCCCAGGGAGGTGGTACAAGTGTGCAAGGAGGAAACAGATTGAGGAGGAGTTCAGAACCAACACACTGGGGTGGTCAAGAGAAACCAAAGAGAGAGAGCAGCCAAATACCAACACATTTTCCACCCTCTGCAGCCGTCTACCAGGGCTGGTGTCCCTCCACTGTGACTTACCACTGCACCACCTGCAGAGAACGCACTTAAGGCCCATGGGGCAACATAGCAGAGACCCGCGGGGAGCCAGGAGCAGCAGGAGGCTCTGTGGGGGCAACAGGGAGGGAAGGCTGCGGGTCCTCTAGCCAAGCCGGGGTCTGTCAGCAGGAGCATGCGAGGGAAGCAGGACCTGCCTGTCGCTGAGGGGGCCGCAGGGGCGGTGGGGCTGCGCTGACACAGCCCCGGAGGCCCGAGCCCCGCAGGCTGAGGTCACCGCAGGTGCCGGCCGGGCCGCCCGACACGTCGCTTTAGCAGCGGGGGCGGGCCCGACGCAGGCGGGCGGGAGCTGCGGTCCCACCGCGGGGAGGCACCGGGCAGGGACACCCGGCACGCCGACACCCCCTCACCACAGCCGGGGGCCGTGCATGGACACAGTGGTCGGCACAAGGCTCCCTGCCGGGTCCGGGATGGTCACAGGGCTCCCGGGGGCACATGGCACGGGGAGCAGCACTGCAGCAGCGCGGGTGTCACTGATGGGCACCGAGCCGGGCACCGAGCCGGGCACCGCCACCACAGGACGGGGCAGTCCAGTGCCTCCTTCAGCGGGTGGAGGAGGCCAAGGGCTGTGTCAGCTCTGTTCTGCCAAGGGCTGAGCAAGTTCTCAGTCCCCGTGTGACACCGGCCCACAGACACAGCACTGCCATCCCCTGCAGGGAGCTGCTGCTGCTAAAGATTGCAAGTTCTCATATTCTTCGATAATAGGTTCTATATAGGATGACCAATTTAGTGTCATGGGATCTTTTACATCTGCTCTCATTAATGATGGCTGCCTTGGTCAAGTTTCAGTGCAGTAGTTATATTTTACCTAACGAAATTGTTATCTTGCTATCAGTTTCTCATTCCCAGCTCTCAGCAGCTGCCAGGACTAATCGGCTGTGATGTGATGTGGGGGCTTCCCCCACAGCCTCCACTAACCCCTGACTGCTGCCAGTGCCATCCCAAACTGAAGGAATAACAGGGAAAACCAGCACTCTCCTCCTGCCTCACCACGTGCTCAGGCTGAAACAATCTCAATCTCATGTGAAAGAAGCTCCCAATACAAGGACTACATTTACCTCTTTGGTCCATTCAGCACATGCACTTGGATTGAAAGAAACCAAGAAAATCTTCTAGAAAGAAATTAAATGAATACTGAGAAAACATCATTAACCTGTTTTCTGAAGAGTACTTATAAATTTTGAAGTCTGCATTCTTCTTACTGATACTTAATTTTATGATTAAAACCAATATTCAGTGTTCAGAACTACAGTTTGTATTTCAATTATTGCTGCTCTACTTACTGTACACATGTTACCTGAAGTTCTCACAAGGATATTGGAAGAAATTAAGGGTAACTACACTATTTAGTGTAGACTCATCTGCTGGGACTGTGGCTTTGAACTTTTGGTACTTTCTCAACCTCCAGACCCTAATAAATATATCTTACACTGGAACTACACTGTGGACCTGATCCATTGCTGCCATCTGTTTAAAAATGAACAAACAGACAAAGAGATTATAAATATATAACTGTATTTTATTTTTAATATTAAATATTTTTAAATTACAAGCAGTTTCTTGAATCACACTATGCATGATAATCAATATACAGTAGAAATTACAATTTAAAAATGTACACAATTTAAAGACATTTTGACCTGAAATTTCATTAACTATGATATATTGCCATAAACCTCATACCTGTATTAAATTACAATAGGAAAACCTCATACCTATGATTTTGTTACATAGTTTCTCATTTACAAATAGAATTAAACATTATATATACACACACATCAGTACCATTTATCATTTAAGTTACACCTACATCTGTGCAAGTTCAAACAATTTCATAAACAAAATTAACTGTAAGTCATATTCAAGTTTCTGAAAAACAGGCTGCTGGTATTACAAATACTTATTTTCAATAAGTTTATGATGCTTGACTCTCCTCTAGATTTCTTCCTGTTTTGTACCAAAACTTTTAACATACAAGGATATTTCTGTATGACTTAAAGCTGAAGTAATTTTGTACACTCCATTCTTATTTAAGGCTATTTCTTATAAGGCTAAATTACTTGGATTCCACCTTTCAGCAACTCCAACACAAATAGCCATGTCACTGACACCTGACAATGCTGACATTTTAGGATAGTGCTTAATTGTAAAAAAAAAAAGGTCTCTCTACCAACCAGCCTCCTTATGAAAGAGATTGAGTACTACATAAAAATCTGCTAAAAATACTGATAAAAAGAATGAGGCTTAAATGGCTTTCATTAGTGCATCAACAAGGATATGAAAAAAAAAAGTTAAATCCGCTCATTTCATGAAAATGGCAATTTCCATAAATGCAGTTATACACAGTGTATCTGCAGCTGGGGGATTTGGGAGAGTACAGGTGTTCCCATTGAAACTGGACACTCTTCTCGCTCTCTTGGCTTCTTACTACAGATCCCAAGTTTTAAACTTCTTTGGGTGGGAAAAATCAGATCTTTTAAATACCTTTAGTAGCCAAATTGAGACAATGCCTTCATTATTCAAACAATCCAGGTATTCTACTAGAGAAGGAATTAAACTGTAACCAGTCCTCATAATAAACCATTGAAAATAGATACATGTACCTCTCAAAGAGAGACCAGGCTTAAGTAGCTAGTGCAAGAAATTACCTGTAGTGAATGGTTTGTAACAAATCCCCTCATTATAATGTAACACATTGGAATTACTGATTCATCTTCATTGTGCCACTTGACTGCCAGGCAGATATTGAAGTATTGCTAGTAGTTGATCAGATCTTTAAGTATATTTTTCCCCCAAAAGACCATCTATATTATTGCAATCCAGCCTACTGGATTACTGAAATTAAATGTTTAAGTGAGGTGAGTCAACTTTAAATATTTCTTTCTCTTCATTGTACAGCTAAAAAGGACATTACCTTGCTTAATATAATACACATCTAATTTTGGAAAAAATGCTCCTTTGGCAATTCATTAGCAATGAGTCCATGTGGACAAAGGAGTAAACTTTCACTTCCTGTGTAAGATTTTCTTTAAACTCAGGTAAAGAACAAAAATCTTGGATTCTCATCAAGCAAAGAAAATTCTCAATGTGCAAGATAAACATCTGATTCTCCAGACTTATAAGAAACAAAATGAACCATCAAATTACAACATTCTGCAGTATATACTTTTACTTAACTCTGGATTAATTTTGTAAAGCAAATGATTCAAAATTAAGGCTGAACTCCAGGTCTGACAGGCTTCTCACCACACAAAGCAGACAAGCCCACACGTTTTTTGCAGACCATTGTGGAGTTTCATTCTTACTATGGTGAGAACTGCAGAAGACAGATGAAATGCCCTAAATCTAGCTGTATCAAGGAGTTTAATGTTGGAATTACAGAATTTCTAAGCAATAATTTGTGCACAAAGTCTATTACCGATATTTTTAAATATTTGGAGTAGTGCACAGCTTCCTTAAACCCTCTACAGTTATATACTGTAAGCCTGTATTAAGAACTACTTGACTTTGCCTTTTAAATCATGTTCTGGGAAAAGTCCATGGGAAAATTCAGTTCCTCACTTCATACTGAAGAACAGTTCTGACTAACCCCAAACCTGAGTGCCTCATCAGAAAAAGATATCTCAACAATTCATTGGCAACTTCAAATAACATAATAACTACATCGTTCCCTTTTGATCAGTATGGAAGCCATCCTGGTTAAGGGCTAAACAATGTTGGAAAAAAAAAAAATTGACATATTCCTGTCATTTTAAAACATACTTAAAAATCAAAATTAACATAGAGGTATACAAAAAAAAATTACACATCTGAAAATATCTAGTTTTCCCATCTTCATCTGATGAAAATTCTCTGGTGACAGGATCTGGACACAGAGCACTTGGACCACCATTAGCTCAAGCCCTGCCAAAACCACCACTAAAATACAAAGTACTGCATATTTCAGCAGTATTGTATTTGTATTGTAGTGTCCTAAAACACAAACCCAGGTAAACTGTTCCTATCAGTGTTTCCTACTGACCCACAGCTGCATAAGGCATTCCAAGAGGTCAGGGATTTGTTTCTCAGCTGAACTCACTTTGGAGTAATAATTAAGGATAACTTTTTTCCGAGCAGTTGGAAGGGCTGAAGCAGCCAGATGCATGGGAGAGTGGGAAGGTTAAACCCCCCCAGTGTCTTCCCTTCCCTACAGACTTCAGAGCAAACTTACAGGATGGCACCCTGTGCTCAGGATGCATTTCCAGGTGTACCATGCAGCCTTGCAGACATCTTAAAGTGGGTCTGGCCTTACCAAGGGTGCAAAACTGGGCATTAACTGTTAATCCAAACCTTCACTGTCATCACATCACCGAGAGGTAGATTTACCACAGGCCTCTGAACAGAGCCCCGTCTGCCATCAGCAGAAGAGCTTCAAAATTCACAGAATGTACAACTGAAGGGCCAAGTGTACCCAAAGCCAGGCTACTGAAATTAGTCTTTTTATAAGATTCATAAATTCCACAGTTTTGTACAGCCAATTTTTCCTCTTCTTTCTCCAAGGCAAAAATTGCAACAAAAAGTGGAAGGCCCTTAATTGTGATATAGTCAGATGCTATTACAGTTTGAGCAGTCAGTAGGATCATATGTAGGAATTAAGAGACATTCTCTCTTTCATCTAAAAATTCCAGAGTATATCATATATTCTTTTCCAGTTTCCTATAAAACATGAACACTAACAACCATTCTATAATCATTATCATTTAGAAATGGTACTGAATATAAGATTTCAGCAAGTCTAACATAATACTCAGAAGTTATGTACGTTTTACAAGTACCGTGCATAGCAAAGGCTACAAAAAGGACAAATTAAACTGGATAACTGGGCCAATTCAACTTGTCTTATTTTCCTTGAAAGATTTAAGATTTTGATTCTGTACATCATCAGGAAATAAAGGAAGAATAATCCATAGTGCAATTGTAATAAGCAAAGTAATATGTAGTGATATCTTTTTGAATAAATATGGCTCACTACTGATCAACTATCATTCATACAGTTCCATCAACACGGCCACCTGTTGCACAGGACAGTTATACACAATTCTACAACAGGTGTAGGTTCAAATAGATAATGAA